GCAACATCTAAAAGAGCAAAAGAAATGTGCTTTTTCCTTGACCACCATCCTAATTAAAAAAAAAAAAAAAATCCTTCCTTTTAATGCCAAATAAATATCTTCAGGGAGTAACATCTTTTTGAAAAAAGGAAAATAAGTCTGGATAACACAGCGAAACTCCATTTCCACACACAATACAAAAAAATTAGCCAGGCGTGGTGGCACACACCTGTAGTCCCAGCTACTTGAGGGGCTGAAACAGAAGGATCGCTTGAGCCTGCGAGGCTGAGGCTGACATGAGCCGAGATCATTCCACTGCACTCCAGCCTGGGTGACAAAATGAGACCATATCTCAAAAGAGAAAAGAAAATAACAAACATGATGATGGAAAAAAAGTTTACCAGAGAGTTAGATCAAGAGAGTTAGAACATTTCTCATAAAAAGGAACAAAAAAGAAAAATGGAAAAATAGAATAAAAGATAAGAGGCTGGGAGCAGTGGCTCATGCCTGTAATCCCAGCACTTTGGGAAGCTGAGGCAGGCAGAACACTGAGGTCAGGAGTTCGAGACCAGCCTGGCCAACATGGTGAAATCTTGTCTCTACTAAAAATACAAAAATTAGCCAGGTGTAGTGGCACATGCCTGTAATCCCAGCTGCTCGGGAGGCTGAGGCAGGAGAATTACTGGAACCAGTGAGCTGAGATCACGCCTTTGCACTCCAGCCTGGACAACACAGTGAGACTTCATCTCAAAAAAAAAAAAAAAAAAAAAAAAAAAGAAAAGAAAGAAAGGAAAGAAAATTAGAGGACAATTCTACAAGATTCAACAACATGTGATTGAAAGTTTCATGGAAAGACAACAAAGAAAATAGAGAGGGAAAGCTATTAATGAATTCAATAAAATTTTCTAAACCGAAAAGGGACCCACCTACTGCCTGACACAATGAACAACAACAACAACCAAAAGGACCACCAATTATCCAGGGTGTCTACTTGAGAATGGCATTTAAATTCATTACCACACTGGTAACTAGAAGACAACAAAGTAATGCTCACAGAATTTTAAGATAAAATTATTTGCACACTTGAAATTCCTACCTGACCAAACTAAAATCATTTATGAAGTTTGAATAAATATATTTTAAGAAATGCATTATATTTTTTAGGTCATCAGCACCAGAGACCTCATGGGGACTTAAACTCCAGTGTCTTTCATGCAGGGAACTGGTTACAAGGTGGTGGAAGATCAAAGAAGCCAAGTTGGGTGGGAGGTAGAAATCTATGTAAACCCAAGGGGTGGTATCTCCCTGTGGAGCAGGCATGTCTGTCAGGATCTGGAGCCATGGAGGAGACACAGCTGCTTCCAGAAACCTGCAAGAAACAGGGAGGGAAAGCAAGAAACGCCCTGACTTCTTTCTTCCCTCTCCCTCCCAACAGTCCTTCATTGTCTTCTATTGGCTGAACTCAGGCGAAGTCAGCAGCCCTCCGCAGAAATGCCGCGGCAGGGGCCAGCCACTGGCACTACAGCGATGATCCAGGATTGGCTAGGAATGTATCTGAGCACAAACAGGCTTGAGATTGCCCAATGCAAAATCTCAAAAAATTTCTGTTTTCTCAGAAAGCTATTGGAGGATCTTCTCCACCAAAAATAGTGAGTAAACTGAGACTTGTGACTTAACAAAAAAAGGATTCAACACAGGTGAGTGGCAAAGGGGCTCTTCGGCAGATGGAGAAGCATCAGCGTGATAGCTATAAAGCAGACCTAGAGATTAACCAGCCCAGATTGGACAACTTTAAAAAAAAAAAAGGAACTAAAAAATGTTTGACTGAATTCAGAAGTTTTGCAGCACTGGAAGACAGCTGGGGGACAACATAGTATTTGGTACACGGAGAGAAAGCAAACGAACAAAAGAGGCAGTATTCGAATCAGGAAAAACGGGAATGTAGTTATAGTATACAAGTGATCCTGCTGTGAACAGCATTTCCATGGGCATAATAAGAAACACACTTAAGGCTATTTAGCCACAACACTGTGATACAAATACAGTTGAAAAGATGACGGTAGAGAAGCTACCGTCATCTTTTCTATTTGTGTTTTGGGCTACATAGAAGAGCTGTGTATCTTTTCTTTCAGAGAGGGAAGTCTTTAGATACCTGTATCGATCAAGACATGAGCAGAAAGTGGAATGTTTACTCGCACTAAGAAAGTTGAGGATAATTTATTTAAATTATTATTTACAACTAAACGGGTAACATTAAATTATCATTTAAAATAAATGTAGGGCAATAACAAGGCTTTTACAGATTACTGGAGCTAGTAATCCGCACTACCTTAGAGCTTGACCGGAGGTACGACGGCGCAGCAGCTCTTTGGAGAGGGCTGTGTAGAGAGGCTTCCTGGCAGATGCTGGGACATTTCGTGGGATATTCAGACTGCAGCCAACAGAACCAGAGGATACATGTACTACCCTCACCTTTCAGTCACAGTCAGTCGTGTTTATGAGGTGTCAGGCACTGTTCAAAGTTCTCAGTGAATTCTTTCAATAACCCGTAAGTGTTCTTTTTATTCCAGTTTGACAGTCGAGGAAACTAAAACACAGATTAAGTTCCTTGCCCAAGGTCATAAAACTGGGAGTGAAAAGCACCTGGACAGTTGACACTAGTAACCCTAAATTCAGTTTAGAGAGAGTTTGGACCAGGAAAATGCTGTGCTGCTTTGTTTATCTTACGATTTTATTTATATGAAAGATCCAGAATAGAGCCATCCATTTCGACAGCGCACAGACTGGGGTGGTTGCCAAGGGCTACAGGGGAGGGAGGAAAGGGGAGAAGCTGTTTAATGAGTAAGGGGTTTTACCCTGGAGGGATAGCAATGTTTCAGAACTAGACAGAGGTGGTGCTTACACAACACTGTGAATGTAGTGAAGGATGTTGAATTGTTCACTTTAAAATGATTAATTGTGGGGGAAAAAACCCAGAAAAGACTGTCTCCCTTAGCTCTCCTGAGCAAATGCAGTGTTAATCCGCTGCGTACAAGTACTGAGGCATCAGCCTAAATCATCGGTTCCCAGTCAGACGTGGTTTTGCTCCCCAGAGGACATCTGACAGTATCTGGAGACATTTTTGATTGTCATAGCAGGAGGGAGGATACTACTGAGCTTAGCAGGCAGGGGCCAGGGATGCTACCGAACTTCGCACAAGTACAGGACGGCCTCCACCACAGGGTGACCCGGGCCAACATGCCCGTGCTGCCGAGTGCCAAGACTTAAAAACCCTGGGCGAGACGATGAGGCGCTGGGGGTGCGGGCAGTAAGGACCCGAGGTGTCACCCGACCAGGAGAGCTCCCCTGTGTCACCCAGGAAAGAGGCCGAGAGGGGAAAGGCAGGAGACGGCCTGTCCCTTTCTTTTTCTGAACACCGTGGAAATTAGTGCGGCCTCGGAGGTCCGCGGCGAAAGTCACATCCTGCCGCGGACACAAGCTCACGGAGCTGCTCCTCCGTCTTTGCTCAGACGCTTTTCTCCGCAGACCCAGCCGGTGTGCGGGGCGCTCCCGCCCCGGCCGCGCGGTCCCGAGGATTCCAGCGCCGGTGCCCCATTGGCGATGGCGAGAGGCCTTCGAAAAGCGTCCGGACGGACGGTGTGGAGGAACCTGCGGCCCGACAGCCTGCACGCTGCCCGGGACAGTCCACAGACATCGCAGCGGCCTGGGAGCCGCGACACTCGACCACCGGGTTCCCGCGGCTGCGTCCCGCGCTCGGCCCAGCGGCCCCGGACGGCGGCCTCCCACACCCCGGACCCCGGGTCCCGCCGCGCCCCACAGCGCGCGAGTTAGCCCTGACACGCCCAGTCCGCTGCTGCTTTGTCTTGATTTAAAAAAAAAAAAAAAAAAAAAAAAAAGGCCTTGCCAATCCATTTGGCTTATAAAAGAATGTATTGTGCACATTTATTATAATGATAATAATGATGTGAGAAACAATTTGGGAGTATGGGGCACGAAAGCAGCTCCAGTCATGACAGTTGCACCTGGAAGAGACTAGACTGCCTCGGGTGCTCACAGCTTGAGAATTAGTTCTTAATGAACAAACGTATGCAGTGCATTTCTGAAGGGTATACTTTCCTTGTTTGAACATGATAGAATCAGCACTAAACAGAAACCAGTAAAATTCTCTGTAACTATCTCAGTAGAGGTCCAATTACCCTGGGATAAATATGCCCCTGTTCGTCTCCCCACTGTCTGACCTGCTTATGTGTGTGTCAGGTATCCCCAAACTGCACCGTCAGGGATATACACCCCAAGAGCCCTCTGAGAACTGGTTTAACTAGTATTTTGGCTTGTTACGGGTACACCTGTGACCTAATTTACAAGACCTAGATTAATGAAATGTTCATCCACAATTAAAAGATCATTTTACTTCAGTAGTATGATGCTCAATTTCTACTTATAGAATTCATTTTTTATTAGTTAAAAATTATGCTAGATGACACAGAACTATCAAATGCAGAGAATTCTTAGCTTGAGATCCATTGACCTCAAGTGTTTCATGAACACCTTAGGATACTTTTCAAAATGGTATATGTGCGTATGTAGGGGCATCTTTCTGAGAAAGGGTTTCCTAGATTTTGGTCTGGACCTGGAGTCCAGACTAAAACAATATTGTACAAATCTTTGCTCTACTGACTTCTTGACATTGGGAATTTGAAGGAGAGGAATTTTCCATCAGCATTTTGATTTTTTGGGAATTAAGTGACTCTAAGCAAACATGAAGATTAATTCCCAAACCGATTCCCAAGGACTGGTACCAGTAGCTCCTGGTGCAGAACCAACTTCAGTCTGGCAGGGAACACAAGAATGTTCAGTTAATACTGAGGGCAAAAGGTCAATAGGAATCTCCTAAGCTCCCCGCAGTCTCTTCTGTGGCTCCCTGATGTTTACAGTTCAAAGCAGATACTTGCTCCTAAAGGAAGCAACCTTGACGCCCTGGCCTGATGCATGGTCTCAGTCTATGGTTCAACTTTTTTTTTTTTTTTAAATTTTAAAATAAAAAATAGAAGTTTTTATTGAGTTCTTTAAATTACATGTTTTTCTTCTTCTTGGAAAAGGTTTTAAATCAACCATTCATAATTTGACCAAAATTTAAAAAACTGGTATTTTGTAAATGTGTCACAGACACACAGGACAGAACCCTACTTTTTGTAAAGGACCTTACTCCGAATAAAGTCATGAGTTTTTCAGTAATCCTCCGCTGAGTTTTCTGGTAATTTTACAAAAGCAAGCCCATCACTGTCCAATGGAAATGGGTTAGACAGATAGATATTCTTTCAGTTTATCCATGATTTCGTTCATCTTGTCACCTGGAATTAACATCACAGTTCGCAAAGGCTTCACTGGTACGTCATCAAAAGACCATCTGCCACCCAGACAGGCGTCGCTCTCCTCCTGCACTGAGTAGTTGAACTTCAGAATTGCCTTCTCATAGAAAAATTCTTCCTCTGCGTTTGCAAACATTAACTCATCTTTCGTTTGGTTGCTCCATTTCTTTTTGGAATTGTTTTTTCCTGCTTCCACAAATGTCTTACTAATCAGAAGGTAAAAGCAGCACTTCCCACATGGCTTATTGGTTTTGTGTGCCTCCACTACTTCTTTCTGAAGCTGCTGGTACATGGGCAGAGCGATCTGTGGAGGGACGTTAATGAATCTTTCACTTAGGAGAAGGCCCACAGGCTTGGTGGTGTCATTTAAAAGCTTGTCCAGCTGTTCAACCATGCTTTTTTCACAGTTCTTCTCACAGAAGCTTAGAATCAACTCTTTAATTTGTTCAGCACATTGGGTACCCTTTCTTTCAGTTAAACTCAAAAGGCTTATGAAACCAAAAATCTCATCTTCATCCACATCGTCATCGCTGTCTTCCGAAACATCCGTTTGCTTAATCACACTCCCAATACGGTTCTGCTGAATTAAGAGATCTGTTAGCTCTGCAGTGTTCACAGGAGCCTTTAGAAAAAGCTGCTGCAATAATGTCTTAATTCCGTCGTAATCGTCATCTGATATGGAATCAGCTTCGAATTCGATATGCACTTCCTCGACCACGAACTCGTCGTCTTCATCCGCTTCTTCGTCGCTGTCGTCGTCGTCTTCGTCCTCATCCTCGACTTCATCGTCCTCTTCGCCATCGCGCTGGACCTGGGCGCCAGGCGGCTGCGGGGCCCCCCTCCCCGAAGCCCTCCGTTTGGCCCTGGACGCCGTGTTACCCGGTTCAACTTTTTCGCAGCTCTTCTTTTACTTCCGCTATGGTATTGCCACCCAGACAACCAGTCCCCAGACTGTGCCCCTGTCTTGCATCTTATAGTATGTGAAAGGGTTTGGGCCAATGCGGTCTTCTAAATACCATCTTCAATCCCTGCCTAAACTCAAATGCCCAGCCAGCTTCTTTGAGCTTCTCAGTTTATCTAGGCTGTTAGCTTCCAGTCAGCTGCAGTTTCCCCTAACTGTCTCTGTGTGGGTGTTATTTTATTCACAGGTTGTAGCCACAATCCCGTTGCTACAAACTGAAATCTCCACGGGCAGGGCCAGTGCTCAGGGTCCTGTTCAATTCTGTGCCCATAGCACTGAGGACAGCAGTGGGTATGGCACGAAAGTGTGTCCTTCCTATTGCCAAGTCGGTATACTCCCAGGTCAGCTGCAGGCTGTGCAAGCTTCGTCACTAGGTCTGATAATGTGGCTCATTAAGCAAAAAGACTGGAGAATTGTACTAATGCACATTGTAAGCCAGAGTTCTGAATTCACTTTGAAGAAATAACTTCATTTGGTCTCATTTTTGTTCTTATTCCCAGGAGCAAGAGTTTCCATTTAATTGGGAAGATAGAAAGGAGAGTTCTCATACAGCCCACACTCAGTTTCCCTTACTATTAAAATTTTACATCGGTGTGCTACATTTGATACAAATAGTTAACAAATATTTATAGATTATTATTAACTAAAATGAATATGTTATTTAGATTTCCTTCATTTTTTACTTAATTCCTTTCTTGGTTCCAGGATTCTATTCAGAATTCCATGTTATTTTTAGTCATCATGACTCCTTAGGCTCTCTCGCTGTGGCAGTCCTTGATTTTGATGACCTTGACAGTTTTGATGAGTATTGATCAGATATTTTGTAGCATGTCCTTCAACTAGGATTTGTCTGATACTTTTTTCATTATTAGATTGGAGTTAGGGGTTTGAGGGAGCAAGACCACAGAGGTAGTTTTTTTGTTTGTTTGTTTGTTTTCAGACAGAGTCTCCCTCTGTCACCCAGGCTGGAGGGCAGTGGCACCATCTTGGCTGTCTGCAACTTCCGCCTCCCAGGTTCAAGTGATTCTCCTGCCTCACCTCCTGAATAACTAGGATTATGGGTACTGCTGCCATACCTGGCTAATTTTTGTATTTTTAGTAGAGACGGGTTTCACCATGTTGGCCAGGCTGGTCTCGAACTCCTGGCCTCAAGTGATCCACCTGCCTCAGCCTTGCAAAGTGCTGGGATTACAGGCATGAACCACCATGCTTGGCCTAAAGTGCCCTTTTTATGACGTTATATCAAGGCTATATACGATCCACATGGCTTATCACTGCTGGTGTAGTGCTTTTCTGATTTATTCACTGCTTACGTCCCCACCCTTTTTCATACTGTACTCTGTAGAGAGTTACTATAAAGAGGTCACATGAAGCGGTGGAGTTATTTGGAATTCTTCTGCTCAGGAGATTCCCTGAAAAACTGAGATTGGTTGCACATCAGGGAAGTTGTAGGAATTGGTTTGAAGTCTTCTATTTATTGCCACTTAAATTGTTTCAGCTCTGACCATTACAGGCGGTATTTTCACCTTTTTTTTTTTTTTTTTTTTTTTTCTTCTTCAGAGAGCACAGAACTTGGTACAAGCCCTAGCCCTTAGAAATGCTCGTCTTAAATTTGTTACATGGACCTTCAGTTTTTCAAAAGCCTGCAGAGGGCTAGATTTGTATTGAAAATGCTTTGGATCCTCATGCTTCTTGTTCACGAGGCTCCTGGAAACCACCTTCGGTTACCCCGTTTGGCTAGAGGGTTTCATTCTGCCTTGCTCTCTGGTCGTGAGTGAATCAGAAGGCCACGGGGCTGAGAGAAGATGGACCGGATGAGATGTGCACGGGTGCTCTCTTTGCCACTGCACAGCGGCCACTGCAGCTCACGCCGCAGAGCACTCGGCCCCACGGGCGGGGCCCGTTTTAACCTGGTAGTGACAGTGCGACCTCATGTAAGCCGGAAGGGCTTTTGTCCGTGATGTGCAGACATCTGTATGCAATAGAGCCATTTTGGCCGATGCCGATACGTCTCATGGGATCTTGCTGGGAAGGTTCATATCCTGTCACCTGCGATTGTTAACTCTTAAAGACCCTCTGCCTCCTTCCTCAGTCTTTCTGTTTGACAAGATAAGGTCGCTTTTGTCTCCTGCAGTGAACAGTCCTGGACAAGTCACGTCCCGGTCCTGGCATCAGTAAAATTTTACTGCTGAATAATTTGGGAGAGGCTCATAGTTACTCCCATTGAAAAGGAGCAACTCAAAGCTTCATAGGTGAGAAACGAATGAGAAAATCCTGCTTTGCAGAGTGGCGCTTTCATGGTGCTTTACCCGCCGGTGTCCACGAGGCGGCGCCTTCCCGGAAGGCGCAGAGCACCTTCCGGTGTCCGGCGCGTCTTTCACCCCGGGACGCCACAGCCGGGACCGGTACACGCGCTGCCTCCACTCAGGTTATCCACAGTTCACATGTCACGAAACGGAACTTCCAAAAGTGTTCCTAGCGTTAGGCGGAACAAACGCGAGACACGGGCTCGGGAGGCGGCGAGCCTGGCGGCTCTTCCAACAGCGCCACCTGTCAGCGCGGCTGGGCGGGTGCCCTCCCCCTGCGCGGGGACAGCGGGCTGAGCGCGGCCGAACCCTGGCGGGGGCGCCCGCGGGCCCGGGAGGTACGGACCTACCTTTTCTGCCCCTAGAAACCGATTTGCTCTTAGATGTTTCAGAAGAGCCCCGTTCGAAACGCAAAGGGCACTTGGGTCACGGCGGCAGATGACGAACATCGCAGTGGAAACGCAGGTTCTTAAAGGGCAAGTGCTCTGGTCTGCGGACAGGAGGAGGTTTGCCATCAGGAGGGCGTGCTGCCGGGCTGCGCTGGCGCGGGGTTCCATGGTGTAATGGTTAGCACTCTGGACTCTGAATCCAGCGATCCGAGTTCAAATCTCGGTGGAACCTGAGGTTTTTGTTTTTTTTTTTCTTCTGGCTTCCTCACTATTTTTTCTTTCTAAAATTAATTTCCCCTTGATATCATTGGCAGGGAATCTCCAGTTCATATGAACCCAGAATACGATGCGGGCTCTGTGTGGGCCCCGCTGACTCCCTGTTCCATGTTCAGAGCAGGAGAGACCATTCCTCCTATCTCCTTCCTTTTACTTCCCTCCTCACCACCACCTAACAGATATTCTGATGCCCAAAATAATTTGAGTTGCGTTAATCTTTTTATTTGATTTATTGCTTTGTCAAATGCAGGGAATTCACTTCAGAGAACAAAAAGGACTCAACAGATTTGAGGGAGAAGAACGATACTTGTATGTATCTTTTTGCCCAGAGAGAATGAGGCTTTATAATGCCTTTTAGATGCAATCACTAGAATTTATAGGTGGTTGATTTGCCACTGAGAAACCAAGATTCTTCAAAATAAATCTGTACTTGAAATAATTGCTTAAACTCTCTTAGGTATTTGAACACTCTTGGATCCTCACATGATAGCTTGAATCACTGTCAACACAGTAAGTAAATATCCAGATACAGCTTCTAAGTGTTTCCATGGTGTTCTGTTGGTCATTTCTATGACATTAACCAACCACACAGAATTGCTGTCAATGCTGAATATGTTCCATAGAAACACAGAGGTTTAAAATTGTATCCCAGGATGTCTCTGTGATTATTTTATCTTCTAAAACTAAATGTCTCCTGTTGCATGTTAGTTTGCTTTCTGGTAAATGTTTAGATTTGTCACAACTTAAGGTAAGACAAAGAAGTTTTTGGGTCTCTGGAGAAGTAGTTTGATCTTATCTATTAGTATTTATAAAATTGAATATTTTAATTGCAGACACAGGGTATCAGGCTATACATTATAATCTTTCTTCATTTAATCTTATATTGCTAAAATTAATCATCTCTTTTGTTGCATGTAGCTACCATTCATTCATGATTTCATGTTAGCTGCTTTGTAGTATGAATATGCCACAGCTCATTCATTCATCTTTCCACTAATGAGTTAGAGTTGTTTATAATGTGAATTTGATTTTGAATTATGCTAGTTCTTGGGCCACAAAAATTAAAATTATTTTACTGCAGAGGAGATTTCTGATTCCACAACCATACATTTAATGGAGAATCCATAACTTTGAGCTGTCATTTTCATTTTCCAAATGCTTCCACACATCATGATTATTCACCCTTTTATATTGTACTATCCAATCCTTCTAATTCCTCATGCATTTTCTAGTGTTAACTGCTAGCAGAATTATGTTCCGCAACATGGAATACCTTTGCTAGGCTTTTTGCCACCACTGCCTCTAAAAGCTTAAATATCTAACTGCATTTAGCAGATAACTATTCATTCACCCTTACCAGGGCGAATGTTGCAAGAAAATAGATGCTTACTTTTAATTTACATGGACCTAATTTGCTTCTAAATATTTCTTCCTAGATTTATTATACTTGCATAAAGATTTATCACGATATAATACATAATCTTGGAAGTTTTTTCCCTTTGTTTATATGCATGTTTCTTCAGAAAGAAGAAATACATCTGATTTGCAAAGCTCAGGGCACATGCCTGCCATCCTAATTGCATATTAGCCCAGAAAATTGCTTTAGACAGTTTGGACTACTATAACTATATAATATTTGTTGACTTAAGCAACAAACATTTATTTCTCACAATTCTGAAGGCTGGGAAATCCAGAATCAAGGTTCCACCTGATTCAGTGTCTGGTGACGACTCTCTTCTTGGTTTGCAGCCTGCTGCCCTCCTGCTATATTCTCACATACTGGAGGGAGGGAGAGAATTCCTTCAGGGTGATGTCTGATGCCAGCTGTGAAAATGTGGAATCTCTGGAAAACAAACACCAAGTGTTAGAAGTGCAAGATGTTCTTGACAATAATACCCATAACAATAAACAAAGGGGAGAGGGACAGATGAATGCAGGAAGAGCTTTCAGACCAAGATATGCGTCTAGCATGGGCAAAAGGAGGGAAGAAAGAAGTAGGATTCAGCAGAAAAGGCCTGAGGTTTTGACACAGCTCCGAGACTCGAGACTCGGAGAAAGTCTTGTCCAGCCCAGTGGGAAGCTTTGGTATAAAGGTTGCCCTTTGATGAGACCCTAGTTAAGTGGAAATGGCCAGGCTTTAGCATACACCCACCCTGCTCACCAGGAAAAAAATAACCTTAATTTGAACACTGTAGAAGATGGTGAAAGAGCCGTAGAGGCTGTCAGCTGACAGCATTTCTTGCAACTGAAAACAAGTTCTTCCTTGAAGGAAGAGCTGAGCAGCACACCTCCATGTCCACAGAAATTTTACAATACACATTTAATGATATTTCAATATAGATAAAGATTATTGAAACAAATTCATTTACCTAAATGAAAAATATAGAATACTACACTTAACAAAAGATATATTGTTTTATTTATTAATTAAAAGAAATTGGATTGTATATATTTGATGTTTACAACATGATGCTATGAAATACATGTAGATAGTAAAATGGTTGTTGCAGTGAAGCGAATCAGCATCTATCATCTCACATAGTTACATGTTTGTTTGTTGTTTTTTTTACAAGAGCAGGTAACTTTACTCATTTAACGAAAATCCCTAGTATAATACAACTGGATTTACTAGAGTCCTCATGTTGTATATTAGCCCTCTAGACTTGTTCCTACTACATGTCTGCTACTTTGTATCTTTGTGCATTTCCCTATTTTTTTTCTCCTCACCCACCCCGGCAACCAATTTTTTATTTTCTCTGCATGTTTGATCTTTTTTTTTTTTTAACGTCCACATATAATTGAGATATCACAATATTTTTCTTTCTATGTCTGGCTTATTTCACTGAGCATAACATCCTCCAGGGTCATCCATGCTGTGGCAAATGGCAGGAACTGCTTTTTTAAGGCTAAGTAATATTACACACACACACACACACACACACACACACACACAGATTCTTTATCCATGAATCTATTGACAAATACAGGTTATTTCCATATCTTGGCTATTGTGAATAGTTTGGTGTGGTCCCATTTATTTATTTTTGCTTTTTTATCCTGGGCATTTGGCGTGATACCCAAAAAATTATTGCCAAGGCCAATGACAAGGAGCTTTCCCCCTATTTTCTTACAGGATTTTGTGTTTAGGCCTTATATTTAGGTGTTGTATCCATTTTAAATTGATTTTTATGTATAGTATGAGTCTAATTTCATTCTTGTGCATGTGGAAATCCAATTTTCCAAGCTTCATTTATCAGAGATTGTCCTTTTCCCCACTGTGTCCTCTTGGTGCCCTCGTCAAAGATTCGAGGGCAGCGTGTGTTTGATTTATTTCTGGCGTCTCTATTCTGTTGCACTGGTCTATCTTTCTGCTTCTATGCAGGAATGGTTCTGCTGTTCCCAGAACAGTGTGTCTTGATTATCTTAGCTTTATAATTTTAAAGCAGGAATTGTGATGCCTCCACTTTCTCATTATTGCTACGGTGTGTGTGTGTGTGTGTGTGTGTGTGTGTGTGTGAGTGTGTGATTCCATATGAATTTTAGGATTATTTTTTCTATTTCTGTGAACAATGTCTCTTTGGAGTTTTGATAAGGATTGCACTGAATCTGTACATTGCTTTGGATGGTATGGACATTTTAACAGTATTAATTCTTCTAATTCATGAACATTGGATATCTTTCCATTTATTTATGTTGTCTTTAATTACTTTCAACATTTTATTGTTTTCAGTGTAAAAATCTTTTATCTCCTCGGTCAAATTTATTCCTAAGTATTTTATTTTTTTGATGCTATCATAAATAAGATTCTTTTATTGACTTGTTTTTCAGTTGGGTCATTATTTTTGTATGGAAATGTTACTGATCTTTATATGTTGATTTATATATTATTTTAAATACCCTTGGTGGGCCTAATGCAAGTCTTTAAAATTTTACAAGGATTGAAATGACACAGAATATATTCTGTGAGCCCAGCATAATGAAAATAAAATCAATATCAGAAATAAAAAGGAAAACCTCCAGATGTTACTAAATGAAAAAAACACTCATCCAAAGCCATAGCTTAAAGAAATTACATTTGGTTAAAATGAATGATAATCAAAATAAGATTTATGAAAATTTGTTACACAAATTTAGCTGTTACACAACGGCTAAACTGTGCCCGCAGTCTAATTTATAGTTCTACTTGCATATTTTAGAATAAAGTTGTTTTGATATTTGATATTAAAGCTTTTTGAGGGGAAAACAGTAAATTAAAATATTAGAAGGAAGGTTATAAAAAGATAGAATTAGAACACACACACAAAACAGAGAACTGCAACAAAGCCAAAATAGGCATTTAGAGAGAATTGACAAAATTATTGCTCTAAATAAAGTATTGTTCAATAAAAGGAAGAGAAAACAGAAAATGCTAATACCACAAATAAATATAGGATAATATTACATTTAAGTATGTGGACATCAAGAATATATTACAGTGTTTTTAAAATGGATTTGACAATTTAGGAACTGACAGAATAAGAAATTAAGACCTTGATTTTTTTACTCCTAACCTTTCTTTCTTCAAATTGGAAACCATACTAAATGAGTAAATCTACTATGTGTTTCCCGAATCGTCTGTGAAGCTCAGATAAGCATTTGAGGAGCATTTAAGTAAGTGGGAACTTAAAAAAAAAAAAAAAAGTAGTAAAAATCTCACACTGGTTTGAGATACAGGCAGAGCTGTTTACTGGAGGCCAAAGTGGGAGTTGTCAAGAGGAAAGGATGAAGTTTCTTAGAGGCAATGCCAGGCTCTCAAACTGGCAACAAGTGGATTTCTAGTGTATCCTCTAATACACTGGGCTACAACTGAAATACCAATGTAGTTCCTTTCAGTAAATAGAGCATCTCATTCT